GATGGGTGGGTGTGGGCCCACCCATGTCTAAAGGTCCCTCCCCTCAGTCTCAGGGGAGGAACCACCGGATCCAGGCATCAACTAAGCACTGGGGGATGACTAATGAGAGTAACCACCGCAATGCGTGGGGGACTGCATGATACTGGGACTGAAAATGGAAACAGAGAATGCAAATCTCCAGGTGGCTTCATATCTTGCCATCAGTGGGCTCTTGGCCAGCCTCAGTATGGCAGGCATCTTACTCAGTGACCATAAATCTCTTGGCCAGCACTGATGTAAATAATGTGACTGAGATGCACGTTAATTTAGCAACCGCTTTTGTAGCTCTGCTTAAAAGGATACAGGGTGGTCTAGTATTTAGAGCAGGAGATTAGGTGTTGAGACTCCTGGGTTCTAATCCTGGTGTGGGGAAGTGTATCCTAGCAGTTAGAGCAGGGAGGGGTTACTCCTGGGTCGTATTCCCAGCTTTGGGATGGGTATGTGATCTAGGGGTTAGTGCAAGAGAGTCATCGCTTGGTTGTATTGTGAGGCGGTGATGTTTGTGTCATAGCATCAGGTTGCTATAGTGTGAAAGACACAGGCCAATGATACGTTGTGAACATTATAGGAGAGCTAAAGCTGACCTGTGGTGAGGGTTTATTAACGAATATCTGTAAAGAATTTGAGATCAGTGGGTGAAAGGAGCTACATTGTGGTAGGAAGAAAAATGCAATAAACCAGGACTTTTCCCTTTCTGAATAACGAATCTCACGTTGATGCTCTTTAAAATATTCCTTGAATTTCTCCTAACTAAAGCTCTGCAGTATCTCCTGACATGGTTCCAGTATAGCGCCCTCTCGGTTTTATGTATTTATTTAAAATACTATTCGCTGATTGCCTTTCTCTAGTTTTAACAAACACCATTTTGTGTTCATGTAACATTTTTCATTCAAAGATCTCCAAGTGCCTTCCAAAGGGTGAGTAGCTATTATGGTTGCCCTCTGACAAGAGGGGAAACTGAGGGACCAGTAGGGTGACCAGGTAGCAAGGGTGAAAAATCGGGACAGGGGGTGGGGAGTAATTGGCACCTATATAAGACAAAGCCCCAAATATCGGGACTGTCCCTATAAAAGCGGGACATCTGGTCACCCTAGGCACCAGAGAGTTTAAGCTAATTTTTTTTTTAAGGGTTGCTTCCGATTGCTCAGCCAAACTTGAGCCTGATTATCAGAAGCGTTACATTCCTGCAGCTCTCACTGTCTTGGGTGCACTGCACTTCCTAATGCAGGCCGTGTTGTGTGTCAGGTTTGGCACAGAAAACTGAGGCATCCAGAGGCCATTCGTGGCTTGCCCAGATCACACATTAAATCCGTGTTAGAGCTAGGACTAGAAACCACATGTGCTCGAACCACTACATTATACTGTCTCCTTCTCCTGCTGCATTAATAGCCTTTTGTTTGTCAATCCGCCTTCACAATCCATCATACGGCAATAGTAGTACAGAACAATAGCCACCGTACCTTTTCAATCACTTCCTGCAAAACCTGGGTGAGGTAACACTAGCCTGTTGCCTTGCCCTGAATCAGACTTACAGCACCCAGAATCTATTTCCTTTCTTCGCTGCTAAATGGGCGAATGCTGCTCTACTCTGTTAACTGGGAGGAAACAGAGTCTTCCACATCCCACCCCCCCTTGGTTCAAGAGCAATGAATCCCAGCAGGGCCGGCTCCAGGCCACCAAGCATGTGCTTGGGGCGGCGCGGCGCTCTGGCCCGAGAGCGGGGCCGTGACTGGGCTCGCCGCCGCCCTCCCCCAGTGCTCCGGCTGCCAGGGAGAGCGGAGCCGCGGCGAGCTCACCGCCCTCCCCCCAGCGCTCTGGCCGCCGGGGAGAGCGGAGCCCTGGCCGGGCTCTCCGTCCTCCTCCCGGCGCTCTGGCCGCCGGGGAGAGCGGAGCCCCGGACGGGCTCTCCGCCCTCCCCCCAGCGCTCCGGCAGGTCAGGGAGAGCAGGCCCGCGGCTGGGCTCGGCGCCCTCCCCTGCCGTGCTCCCAGGCGGGGGCGGGCAGCGGGAGGCTTTTTTGCCTCAGGCAGCAAAAAAGCCAGAACCGGCCCTGAATCCCAGAATCCTAAATGAGCAGCAAAGCTGCAGCGGGAAAGATTATCTAAATTAGTTCTCCCACTGGGAAAAAAACATTGAAGTGTGTCAATCTGCCTCCCCTTTGTAGTTTGGTAAATGCCAACCTAAAGGAGCTACTGGGGAGAAGGAACCACCAGGTATGTCCCTGACCATAGCCTGGATAATCCAGAGCTGTTTCCAGTATCTGCAGGCAGAATTAGCATATACTCTGTTGCTACTCTTTTTCTTTTTTTTTAAAGCCCCTGTTGTCCTCTGTTCTTTCCCTCTGTCCCCACTGCAGTGACATGAGCCAAAATCCAAGTTGTACCAGTTAAAAGCTGCCAGGTTAAGCCCTAGACTGACTAATCCATGAGAATTCATGGAGCTGGGCCTCTGCAAACCTGATTTAAAGGAACAGCAGCTTTATTTCCAAAATAAATACAGGCGCGTTGCCGAGAATTACTTGTGCTTAATTGGAGCACAAGTCATATTCCCAGGGAGCCTGCAGAAATCTGCTCTCATTCATTTATTTGTGTTACTCTTCATGATGAATGTTAAGAAGCTGATGCAGAACATTAAAAGCAGAATAGTTTGGGTTTTTTTTAAGGGAGGGAGCGTTGTCTAGTGATTGGAGCAGGAAGTCGGGACTCTAGGGTTCTTTTCTCAGGTCTGGTAGAAGAGCATGGTCTAATATTTGCAGAAGGGACTGGAAGTCAAGATTCCTGTGGTCTGTTCCCAGATCTCAGAAGGGATTGTGGGTCTAGAGGTTGGAGCAGAGGACTGGGAGTGAGAGATCCTAAGTTCTTTTCTGCCACCAATTCAGAATGACGTCAAGTTAGCTCAGCATCCCAGTTTAGTCACTGCAAAATGGTATAATAGTGCCAATAGAGTTAATTAACAAATGTCTCTAAAGCGCTTTAATCTCCTTGAGTCCTGTGGCACCTTATAGACTAACAGACGTATTGGAGCATGAGCTATCGTGGGTGAATACCCACTTCATCCGATGCGTGTGGCGACCCATCATAGC